ATTCTTCTTGGATCAACTATCAACACTCATGGAAGCAGCAGTCAAGAGATCAGACGATGTATTGCATTGGGCAAATCTGCTGCACAGGAACTTTTAAAAGTGTTGAAGAGCAGAGATGTCAGCTTGAAGGACTAAGGTGTGCCTGACCTAAGCCATGGTGTTTTCAGTAACCTCATATGGATGTGAAAGCTGGACAGTGAATAAGGAGGATCGTAGAAGAATTGATGCCTTTGAGTTGTGGTGTTGGAGAATACTGAAAGTGCCACGGACTGCCAAAAGAACCAATAGATCCGTTTTGGAAGAAGTGCAGCCAGAGTGCTCCATGGAGGCTAGGATGGCTAAGCTTCGTCTCTCATACTTTAGACATATTGTCAGGAGGGAACAGTTGCTGGAGAAGGATGTCATGCTGTGTAAGGTGGAGGGTCAGAGAAAAAGAGGAAGACCCCCAAGGAGATGGATCAGCCAAGTGGCATCATTGATAGCGTCAAGTTGGCAGCGGTAGTGAGGTTTGCCCAGGATTGGACATTGTTTCGTTCTGTGCATGGGGTCGCTATGAGTCAGTTCCGACTCGATGGCACCTGACAACAACAACAACAAGGTATTTCTGTTTCCAACCTTCTGAGGAAGCGCCATATTGCTATCGTTACAATCCCCTCCATGCATCATCAACCAACCAAAGGGTATACACCCCAATCATCAGCACACAACCCTCTTCCTCTCTGTGTCTAAAGTCCCCAACTGCGCAGTCTCTTCATGTCATTATCTCTGCCTCCATCTCAGGCATCACTGCTTCTCTGGGTAGGGTCCCGCTCTCTGCTCTTCTCCATTGATGGTCCTAGGGACCTCCACTCCTAGCCTGAAAAGTTAATCACTCCCCTCCTTGTTATAAAACATCTACCTTTACATTTCCAACCCTCACACATCGGTCCTGATAACAATATTTCACTATTGTATCACAAGAGACCTATCTGCATTTCATTTCATCAACTTCACCTAGGCAGATTGGATACTACTCACTGGAGATTCTACCTTCCCCCACGCCCTCTGGATCTAGGTTCCCTCTTGAAAGCTTGTAAGCCAGTCACTTCTTGCCTTTGTAGCCCTTCCTCCCCCATTTTGGGTAGCCAATATCCAAGTTGCCCATCCCTGTCTACTCTGTGTGTGGAGTGGGTAGGAATGATCCTTGCTGTAAGGATTTGTTTCCTCTTTGGAGCTACTGCATCCATAGGTGTAGGTCAAGTTCATCAAATTGTGTCATAGTACTCTTTTTTTTTTTTTTTTTTTCCCTTCCTCTTCTATCTTCTTCTGGTTGAGCTCTGATCATCCATCCAGTCATTGAAGCCAGGTCAAGTGGGTATTATCTGTACATATGGGTGTTCTTGTGCATAGGCCCTCTCTTCTTACCAGCTAAATGCTTCACTCTCCACTCTAGTCCTCTGTGGCTATATCAATGACTCTGGGCCCAAGAGTCCCCAGGGTTTGCTGGCCAACCAGGTCTCCACCCAGGTTCACAGAAGTCTGTTGAACATTGTAGGGCTTAGCTTGCCGCTTCATTGCTGTTTTTCCCTCACTTCCCCTTATCAGTGACAAGCGTGGTCACCAATCAGAGCGTGTATTCCCATTGAGTCTTAGTTTTGGAAGGGGGTTTGCACTGAGGGGACCCGACCACTTGTCTTGATGTCTCCTGGGTCTTCCTATATGTTCTTGATGTCATTCCACAACTCTTCTGTTCTTCGGTCATTAGTGTCTAATGCATCAAATCTGTTTTTCAGATGATTTCTAAATTCAGTTAGGACATGTTCAAGATCATATTTTGTTCTCATGGACTTGTTTTAATTTTCTTCAGCTTCAGCCTGAACTTGCTGAACAATATGAACAATTGATGGTCTGTTCCATAGTCTGCCCCTTGCCTTGTTTTGGCTGACAATATGGAACTTTTCCATGGTCTCTTTCCACAGATGTAGTCCATTTGATTTCTGTGTAGTCCATCTGGTGAGATCCATGTGTACAGTTGTCTTTTATGTTGTTTAAAAAGGTATTAACAATGGGGTTATTAGTCTTGCAAAATTCTATCATAAGTTCTCCAATATAATTTCTATTAAAAGGCCATATTTTCCAATGACTGATCCTTCCTCTGTTTCCAAGCTTTGCATTCCAATTTCCAGTAATTATCAATACATCTTGATACCATATTTGATCATTTTCATTCATACTGAAGAAGTCGGTTGTTGTTCTTTAAGTGCCAGAGTCCCATCTGACTTATAGAGCTCCTGCATAGGGTTTCAGAGGAGCAGCTGGTGGGTTTGAACTGCTGACTTCGTAGTTCACAGTCCAGTGCTGATTCCACAGCGCCCATACCAAGAGTCCAAAGAAGTTGGAAGAATTCCTCAATTTCATCATCATTGGCTTTAGAGGTTGGTGCGTAAATCTGAATAGTAATAGTATGAACTGGTATTCCTTGTTGTTGTTGTTAAGTGCCATCGAGTCGATTCCAACCAATAGCAACCCTATATAGGGTTGCCGAAGAGCGCCTGGTGAGCTTGAACCACCACCCTTGAGTTTCAAACCACCTTTGGAGTGTAGCACATTATGCCCCTTGTTTGGAACTGCTGGAGGCTCTTCTTGGTGATTTGATTACCTGGTTCAAGACCTGGGAACTTTGGGGATCCAGTCCATGATGAGTAAGCAGGCTCATCTAAAGTGCTTTCTACCTACAATGCTTTCATCTGGATCTGAACCTTAGATGTGAAGCAGAATCCTTGCCCTGTTTTCTGAGTAGTCTTTGATAGCAGCTCTTGGTCTGAATTGATAGCTGGTTGCTTTTCTTGGGTTGCATCAGCAGTAGATGGTAAGGGGGTTGAAAGCATTAAAAATTAATAAACAGTCAGTGGACTCACCCTCTTCCCCCCATCTGCCTATTGGTCCTGAGGACAGGGTTTTGTCACAGAGTTTGTGGTGTTCCCTCTATTGAGTACCAGGGCCCCTCACTGTGTAGTTCCTGGGGTCACTATAGACATAGCCCTGCTCCTGCCAATGACTTTTCTAGTGAGAAGAGGCAGTTGCATGAGGATCGTGAGCCAAGAAGCATAGGACCACCCAGTTTGGGGAGGTGAATATGCTTGTGTGCCACACACCAGCCGCTTCCTCTCCCTGGTTGTGTTCACTGGGCTCCTGGAGCACCCCATTCACTTTGATCCTTCTTTCCCTAGCACCTCCATTTCCCAGAGTATCTTTAAATGAGAAAATAGAGCAGGATAGGCAAGCAGTCAGTCTTTATACCACATACCCTGCATATCAAATCTTGTTTGATGATTCCATAAATGACCCTTTCCACCCAGTCCTTGTACTGAACCTACTGGAAAGTATTTAAATCATAAAGACATTTTTTTTCAAAGAGAAACCTGGCACTGTTTGCCTTGAGTCTGCTTAGCATGTGGGAGGCAGCAGGTGTTTTCCCATCATTTGATGGGAACAGGATGAAGGTCCAGATCTTTCTTTATCTACCAGGCAGAGTCAGGCACCTGTGCAGCCTGTTGTAGGAACAACGAGGCAGTCAGAGGATCCCTGTGACTTGCCCAGGAGGCGAAATGCCTACTGGAGGCCCAGGCAGTGATGTGGGAAAGGGTATGACACAAACTAAAAAGTAAAACCACTGCCATTGAGTCAGTTCCACCTCATAGCGACCCTGTAGGACAGAGTAGAAGTGCTCCTTAGGGTTTCTGAGACTGTCCTCTTTTTTCTCACTTGAGTGTCGGCCCTTAAACCTCCGACCTTGCATTTAGCAGCCCAGTGCTTAACCCACGGCACCAACAGGGCTCATTGGAAAGGGTTTAGGAGCTTGTTTATTCCACAGAATTTACGTTTTCTATCACTAGGTCAAAGATTTCTCAATGCTGACACTTCTCCAAAATCATCTGTAGAATTAAAAATGCAGATGTCTAGGCCTTCCTCGTGGCTTCAGATTCCATGGATCTGGGATGGGATCTGGACATCTGTTTTCTTAAATCTTTTCAGCCCTCAACACTTCTTAGTCACTAGGCCTTGGAAATGGAATGAGCTAATTCTGCCCTCCCATCTCCAGCCCAGGGCATGGAGTAAGAGGCACAAAGGAAGGTTGTCCTAAAAGAGACTTTACAAAGAAGACACATTTCTGGAGGAATAGAGTGCCCTAGGCAGGGGACCTGCACCAGAAGCCAGAAGTGGTGGCTCAGGGTTTATTGTAGCAGATGGGACAAATGGAGAAGCCAGCAGACTCTAGGAAGGGCCTCTGGGATTGTCCTGGAAGAGTTTCTGCTTACTCTCAAACCAATGGAAGGGGCAGCAGAAGGATTGAACAGAGAGAATGGAGCCTGTTTCTTGTTAATGCAGTTTGATTGAATTCATTTCTAGCCTTAGTTTATGATTTGGCCATTTTGTTGTTGTTTCAGAATGATTTTATTATTCTTTTCTACCAGATCTTTCTCTCTTCAGTCTGTAGGTCTTCTAACTCTAAACCAGATCCACATGATGGCTTCTTTGTTTCAGACCAGTTAGAGACTCAAGGCTAACAGAAGCTGGCTGGGCACACTTTGTTAATGATCTCCTCTCTTGGCTTGTTTCTCCAATAGTAAATGGGCATAGAGAGACCTGCTTGAGAGAATGTGTATGAAGGAGCTTTGGAAACTAAAATTGCTTTTCAGATGTCTGGGACTGTGTACTTTGGGGACAGGTTACTTTATCTAACTAGCATTGCTTGAGGCTGTTATCCATAGCGATGTCTCAGCACACTGGCTCTAGGGAGCTAAGTCTGAGCTCGTGATAGAAATCCCCAGAGTTCTAGTTTTGTGAATGATGCACAGTTAAAAGCCATAACACAGTTAAAGGTTCCCCTTCCCTGGCCTAACTTGACACTCAGGTAGGAACTGTTGTCTGCTTTCCCCCGTGTTACCACTGCTCTGCTTCCATGGACTCCTGGGGCTATCCAGATCCATTTAACACCCTGATTTTTGTTTTCAGGCTCAATGTCAGACCAGGAATTGGAGGTGTCCGCTCTCGGGTTGGGATCCAGCAGAGCCTTCTCAGCCAGCCAACACGCACAACTACTTTCCAGCAGAGATTTGATGCCCGTCAGAAGATTGGCCTCTCAGATGCACGGCTCAAGTTGGGAGTCAAGGATGCCCGGGAGAAGCTTTTGCAGAAAGATGCCCGGTTTCGAATTAAAGGGAAGGTACAGGATGCCCGAGAAATGCTAAACTCCCGAAAGCAGCAAAATACGGTGCCCCAGAAGCCACGCCAGGTAGCTGATGCTCGGGAGAAGATCAGCTTGAAACGGAATTCTCCTGCTGCCTTCATGAGCCCACCCATTGGAACAGTGGCCCCTGCTCTGAAGCTCACCAAAACCATCCAGGTAGGGTATGGCTCGTGTCATAAAATTCCTAGACAGTCAGTGATAAAGGATAGTTATAGGCAGAGAACAGGAGCCCAGGAGTGTTTAGGCAAAAAATGCCAATTCCTTCAAGTGTCAATATAGTACTTTGCTGCCTGCAAAGGCCTTTCATGTATGTTACAGCCCAGTAATCATCTGAAGAGGGCTTATGTAAAGGAAAATGGAGGTCCAGAAAAATTTAGTAACTTTCCCATGTGATAGCTAGGTGGAAGGGAAAGGACAGAAAACTTGTTGAGCATGTGATGTGTGACAGGCACTTGCCATAGATTCATTCTTCCTTGTTGCTACTGTAGGATTGGTGTCCTGGGGTGGCACAGTAAGGTAAGCACTGTACTGCTAACCTCAAGGTTGGCAGCTCAAACCCATTAGCTGATCCTTGGAAAGGGTCATTGTGTGTCAGAAATGACTTGGCACTTAATAACCAAAATCACCACAGGACTTTTACTCCTGGTTTATAAATGAGTCTGAGTCTTAATTGTTATTTGTTGCCATCAAGTTGATTCCATTTGATCAGCGTTTTCAAGGCAGTGGATGACCTTCTGGAAGTAGATCATCAGGTTGAACTTCTGAGGGCTGTATTGGAACCAGCAATCTTTCAGTGTTCTCATAGAGAAAGCATGTGACTCTGTGGGATGAATTATGACTACTGGGTGTTTCTAGGTTCCACAGCAGAAAGCCATGGTACCGCTTCATGCCCATCCTGCTGGAATGAGAATCAACGTTGTCAATAACCATCAGGCCAAACAGGTAGGGGGTGACCATGTGTTCTAATCCCAAGGGTTCCAATGAAGTGTTAGCGGTTGGGGTGGGGGGTGGTATACATTTGATCTTTTGCAACTGATGAGTTTTCAGAAGAAGGCTTTTAATGATGAAAGGAAAGGAAGGACAATATGGTGCAGAAAGGCAAATTGAAAGTCTTAATTTTTCTAATAGCATGTACTTAATACAGAAAATTTGCTAACTTGAGGGAAAAAGTCCCTCCTGTTCTCTCCCCATGATAGAAATGTTGCCACATTTCCTTCCTGTCTCTGTCCAGCTTTATGCTGCTCTTTTCACTTTATAGCTCAAGCATTTCTCTGAGGTGTCATTCACTTTCATCATTTCTAATAACTGCATAATCCATTGAGTTGATGTTCCACAGTTTATTTAAACAATTTCCTTATGGTTCTCACTAATTGAAATCCTGCTGTGAACATCTTTGTCGATAAATCTCTTTCAAGATTTGGGGTTTATTTTAATAGTCTAGATTCCTTGTGCTGGACTTCCCAAGCCAAAGGATACAATCAAATATTTTGGAGACTTCTAATACGTGTACCACTCACTGTATAAAAGTATTTCTGATAGAACTGAAAGTTGTAGAACTTTTACTGGGCTTTGCAGCCCTGGCAGCCTGGCAGGATTTGAACCCTGGCTTCTGAGGCTCGTCTCCCCAGGTTCCTCCTCCTGCCCTCACTTCTTTGACCCCTTGTCTAAACCTGCAGTCACACTGCTACTGTGCTTCTCCAGACGCCTGAGGGCCTGCCCGGAGCACAGGTTGCAGAGAATTTTGGACAAAGATGCCATAAGCTACTTTCTGTTGTTTTATTCTCAGAACTTGTATGACCTGGATGAAGATGATGATGTTACAGCTCCTGTTCCTAGTAAACAGATGAAATTCACAGCCTTAGGCAGCTTTATCCCACACATGGTATGACATTTTATTTATTTAGATGTTTTTATTCTGGCAAAATGTACATAATGAAATCTTTGCCTTTTTAGCCGGCACGGCGCTTTGTTTTTCAGTCCTCAGCTGTGTGTGTTATCAGGTGGATGGGAGTGTGGAGCATAGGGCCTTGAATCCAGAAACATTTCTTTGTTGGGTCATAACATTTTCAGAATCGAAACTAGTCCCACCCGTTGGTTTGGTTTTGTAAAGGTTGAGGCTTGGGTGGCCAGGGACTCCTTAAGGTTCAAACTACTGAAGTGCGGTGCAGGTCTCAGCCGCTGTGTGTGAGACACTTGGAAATGTGAGTAATCCTGCATGAGGGAATCCCAGTGCCTTCCTTTGTGGCAGGACAGCCGGCAGGCTCTCAGTCCTCTATGGCCAACACCTCTTCTTAGATTCCAGAGTCCCTTGGTTTGTGGATCATCACAAATAGATCAGACCTCGCCTGTGGACTTCTGGTGGACACGGCCTGTAGGGAAAGCTTGTTGGACCAGAGTGCTGGCCGGCCACAGTGGAAGGAAAGCCCCATTCAGGAGTGCAGGGTTGCCAGATGTCATCTCCAAAGGCCTCAAGACTCCGCTTAGGTCACTGCACTGAGAGTGTGTCCAATCTTCTGGTTACGGATGACGCTCTCACAGTCATGTACGAAGCTGAATGATGCCTGTGTGCTTCTTTACAAAAGGCTAGGCCTGTCCAGTCATTAGACTGCTTGGGCTGGCTACTGAGGAAACTATTAACCGCACTTAATTAGTGACTAACGTTAATTGAGAATTTAATGTTCTACAGCACTTTTATTAGTATGAATTCATGTAAAACCCCATGTGCACACACACTCCCCAAGCTGTGAGATGGGGACTGTCATCGTTCCCATGTTCAGATAATGAGTCAGGCACAGAGGTGAAATCATTGACCTTCTGTCACCCAGTTTGCAAATGGTGGATCCAGGATTTGAGCTTCAGTTGTCTGACTCTTAAGCACATGTGTTTTAAGCACTATACCATAAGCTCCAGAGACTCAGAAAGCAGCTTGGGAGTGTTGAACCTGGTGTGGGGAGGGTGTTCCCTGACCCGTACCCTCATCAACCTCACTGTCTGCTCCCTGGGTCAACACCTGCTAAGCACTGCCCTCAACTGGCATGGCCACCTGCTACTTGTGCTTCATTCGTCTTTTTCCTCAGACACTTACTTCAATTATCTTCCCAAAGGACTTCATCCCAAAGTGGGGAGGGGGCTATACCTGATGGTCTACAAGTGCTGGCTGTGCTGGAATGGCCCTGCTGTGAGCCAGGTGATCTCTGTAGAGCACACACCCTAGTGGTCTGTGCTTGCTGCTGCTTTATGTCTGGGGGCTCAGCACCCTTTCAGAAATGGGGTCCTGTGTTCATCCCGCCCAGACCTGGTGGTTTCCCCAGCATTGTGATAGAAGTATATCAGAGAATCAATTTGACCCCAAGCTCTGGCCTTCCAACTAGCCCTAAATTGTAGGGTTTTCATAAAATACAAATGCTAGGAGATGGAATCTTGGTGTGGTGCTATAGGATAAGCACTGGACTGCTAACCACTAGGTCAACAGTTCACACCCACCAGTTGCTTCTCGGAATCCCTATACATGGTCACTGTGTATCGGAACTGACTTGATGGTACAACAACAACAAGTGGCATGGATGCGTCTGTGGTTTCTGGGTGGCTTTCCAGGTCACGACTGTGGGAAGTTGCTTTCCAAGAGTGGAGAGCTGCTTGCGAGCTGTTTCCCCCTCACTCTCCGTTTCCCCACGGGATGCTGCTGGCAACTGCAGCCTTTTTGGCTCCAGACTGTTAGTAGAATTGAGGCGTTGAAGGTGGGTTGTCAGCCTTCTGGGGCTTCTTCAGAAGAGTTCAAGTCTCTGGCTTCTCACAGTCCTTTCTGCCTTTTTGTTTAGTCTGGGCTCAGCAGTTCCAAGCTGTCCTTGTCCAAGGCCCTCCCTCTCACCAAAGTAGTCCAGAACGATGCTTACACAGCTCCTGCTCTCCCTTCCTCTGTTCGAACAAAAGCCTTGACCAGCATGTCCCGGACACTGGTGAACAAGGAGGAAGTCCCCAAAGAACTGCCGCCTGCTGAGGTGAGTGAATAGCAAAAGACAGGAAGTGACCACACTAGCTGAGAGTCAGCCTGTGCTGCGTGGGCTGTATGCTGGGCTCTAAGTGTAACCTCTCTGGTTTTCCCAATGCTCCTGTGAGGTAGGTGTCGCCACCTTTGTTTTACACATGAGTAAACCAAGGCCTCTAGTTCCCTGCCCTCAAAGAGCTTACAGGCTAGTGGAGAAGACAAGCTGCCTACCGATCACTGTATCTAATGCTACAGTAGAGGTCTGCCTAGAAGAAAAGCTTTGGGGAGCACTGAGGAAAGAGCATCAGATACCACCTGGTAAATGGGAAAGCTTCAAGGAGCCAGGGCCAAATGAGAAGTTCCGTTCCCTTAGTGGAGGTGTCCTGGGACCGAGATCAGAGAGGCCCGATTGTCACGCACCCTCCCTGATACTTTCCTCTGGGCTTCTGATCACTCACCTGGAGTGAGTTTTGTTTCTGTGAGCATGCCTGTTTTCTGACCACTCACAATGCCTTTTTTGTATGGCAGCCTGTCCTCAGCCCCCTGGAAGGTACCAAGATGACTGTGAATAACCTACACTCTCGAGTCACTGAAGAGGACATTGTTGTGAGTATTACGGCCTGACAGAACTTTAAATCTCACATCTTCTGTGTTGGGTCCTGAACACCACCTCCACGTTTGATCTGCTAGGGGGGCTCACAGGCCGTGGCGTATAGTCACAATCCTGGCTAAGATTTATTACAGCAATAGAGGAAGCAACAGAATCAGCAAAGGAAGAAGGCACATGGGGCAAAGTCCAGGGGAAACTGGATGCAAGCTTCCAGCCCCCCTCCCCCCAGTGGAGTCACCGTTAGTTCCCCTGGCACTGTGTTGCAACAGTATGTGTGGAGTATTGTCTGCCAGTGTTGCAACTAGAGACTCAGTGCCCAGAGGTTTTGTTGGAGGCTAATCAGATAACATCCTCTACCTATCTAGTAAGGAGCTGTGGTAGCATAGTGGTTACAAATTGGGCTGCTAACCTCAAGGTCAACAGTTCGCAACTACCAGCTGTTCATAAGAAAAATGAAGCTTTGTGCTCCTGTAAATATTTACAGCTTCAGAAACTCTATGTAGGGTCACTGTGAGTTAGAACTGACTCCAGTCGCACATGACCAACCATCAGTCAACCCGTCTGGTAGCGTAGTGGTTATGAATCAGGCTGCTAATCTCACAGTTAGCAGTTTGAAACTACCAGCGGTTCCATGGGAGAATGATGAGTCTTCTGCTCCCGTAAAGATTTACTGCCTTGGAAACCCCATACAAAGTTGCTATGAGTTGGAACTGACTCCACAGTACATGACCACCACCACCACCACCAAACTTCCATAAGGAAAGCTGGTGTTTGGCATAAGCCATATTGTTCGCACAGTTGAGGCTCAGTGAGCCATTCTGTTGATGCTGTGAATTCTGTGAAGCCTCCCAGAATCTTAGTTTCCTAGACTCCAGCCAAGGGCCAACAACCTTCTAGCAGGTTTTTCAAAGGGTAGCGTTCAGTGCTCTGCTGCCTAGGCCAGGTACCTGGCTTGACCCTTAAGGTCAGGGAATGCCTGTGCTTGAACAGGTCCTAAGTGGGCTCCTTTGTTCTTACTCTGCAACATTCAGTGGCTGGGATTTTCCTACGAGCCTTCAGAATCCTCTGCTTCCTTTGGAGGTTTTACATGAGGAAATGTAAAAGATGAGAGATGACTGCATCACTCTCCTGCTCTGCCCGTCAGGGCTGAAAGCGAATTCAGGTGCCTGGTAAAGGGCCAAATATAGCCAAGACTTCTTGTCAACCTTCCTTCCACTCAGCCACCCAAATGCCATGAGTTTAGAAATCCTGGCAACATTTTAACTCTAAGCCATCTGATCATAAATGAATGCAACTGGAGATTCCAGTCTCTCCCTCAGCCAATTCCCAGGTTTGCTAAGAGTCCACACAGACCTTCCTGTTTATGGAAGGGGAATAGTCTCTACCATTGACTGAACATTTAGTCTGTGTCAGCCCCTTTCCATACCCTTTCTGTGTAGAAGTTTTGAAAATACACAAAAGTGAAAAGCAAATCATCTGTAACGATCACCAACCACTCAGCGAGAGTGACCAATTCTAATCAACCCCACTTCATTTCTATACACATACCATTATTGTTAAACGCCATTGAGTCAGTTCTGACTCATAGTGATCCTGTATAGGGTTTCTGAGAAGTGGCTGGTGAGCTTGAACTGCTCACCTGGTCGTTCAAATCGTCCGTGCTGTCCATCCCATTAACCCACAGTGCCACACCAGGACTCCATACAAATACTTGAAAAAGTTAGTGGAAAGTTCCATTATCTTTTTTAAAACTCCATTTTTCCACAAAATGTTTGAAGCCCCCTCATGTGTGATATTTGAACAATAGCAATACACTTAGCATCTCACCTAGTTTTGAGATCTATAGTTTGGTTTTGGTGTTTTAACATTTTCCCTTTATTGTTGAAAGCAAGTCCATTAAAGGCCTTATCCTGAGCCCGCTCTGGTTCTCCCCACAACCTGTGATGAGTAACTTGCAGAAGAAGAAATGCTGCTCAGTCTTTGTCCTGTCCAGATTGTATTCCTGTTCTGGCTTCAGTCTCTGTGAAATTGAGGGGAAGGGATAGGAGTCAATGGTATGAGGATGACTCCTGTGTATAAGCAGGATCTCATAATGATCTCAGTTGAGGTTTACAGCAACCCTAGGAGGATGGCTATGCCGGTCCTTTTCTTTTTCTTTTCTCAAGACTTGACCTCAGCTTAAATAACTTGCCGGAGGTCACACACTTGAGAGAAGGCAGAGGCCCAGGGATCATACCCAGGCCTACCTGACTTGGGATGAGCAGCTGTCCCAGATTTAGCACTGAAAACCCCACGTCCCAGGAAACCCTTTAATTCATGCACACTGGGACAGTTGGTCATCCTGGGTAAAGCTCCAGAATTTGTATTTCTAACAAATTCCACTATTTTTCTCTGAGGTGTGCTTTCATTCTTATGATCGAGCTCTCTGGGAGAAAGACACTAGAAATCCCTAGTGAGGGAAGGGGACATTGAGGCAGGGTGAGTCGGTGACTCACTTGTTGGAAGTCACAGGTCCTCCAAGGCTGATGAGTCCAGGCTCATTTCTCTCTGCTGCTCAACGTGTCTCCTTGTCTGGTACTGTTGTGCCTGTGAGCATCCCAAGAACACTATGTGAAGCAGAGCTTGTCCAACACGATGGGTAACCACCAACGTGTGGAGGGGAGGCTGCTGGAAATCGTCTTCTGTTGTTTGCAGGAGCTCTTCTGTGTGTGTGGAGCCCTCAAGCGGGCTCGGCTGGTCCATCCTGGGGTAGCAGAGGTGGTCTTTGTAAAGAAAGACGATGCCATCACTGCATATAAGAAGTACAACAACCGATGTCTGGATGGTAAGTTGCAAAATGCATTCTTCTCATTGCTCACTGACAGATAGTAGCTCTGCGAGGAGCAGGCCCTCCTCATAGGTGGTTGGGAGGTCCTGTCACCTCTCTAGGGTAAAGTCTCCTAATGGTGCTGAACTGTAGGTTCACCCAGTCCCAGCCAGAAGAGAAACACTATTTCCCCATGTATGGCTGTCTTGCAAAGTCTTGTCTGGATCCACGGATTTCCCCTTCTGGATGATGGACTGTTGTTGTTAGGTGTCGTCAGGTCATTCCCAGCTCAGCAGTCCTGTACAGGGATTCTGAGGCTGCTTATCTTTACGGAGTGGACAGCCTCATCTTTCTCCCACGTTAACAGCTGATAGGTGTGAACTGACAACCTTGTGGTGAGAAGTCCATTGCTTATCCTATAACACTACCTACTTACAGCCAAATTGCAGGTTCCTCAAAGGGGCTTGTCTTTGAATCTAAAGTACATCATTTAATCCAGTCTGACTGTCTTTTAATAAGATTATTTAATCCACTCATGTTTTGATAATGTTATTGATGTAGTTGAATTTATGTCACCATTTTTGTAAACCTTTTTATTGTGAATTGAGTGAAGCATCATCAGTTTCACATTCAGTAAATCACATACTTTGCTTTATTACATCATTGCAATCCCCTCCATGTTCCAAAAGTTAACTGCATTTACCTCTACTCACTTTAACAGTTGGGATTCCTCCCTGTGTCTCCCACTACCTTTATCTGTCCTCTGATAACCTCCCTCTTGTTATGTATTGCCTGCCCTGTCTCCCATGTTAACAACTATCTACCATCTAGCCTATAAATACTACTTCCCTCCCCCCCCACCCCCACAACCATGATAGATTGTTTCTTTGTGATTGACTCATTTCATTTAGCATAATGTCCTCCAGGTTCAGCTATGTTGTGAAGTGTTTCACAGATTCATCATTATTTTTTAGTGTTTTTTAAAAAGTTTTTGTTGTGAATTGAGTGAAAGTTTACAGGGCAGATCATCAGTGTTACATTCAACAAATCATACATCTTGTTTCATTAGTGATCCCCTCCATGTGCCATCAGTTAACACTATTTCTCTCTTTTTTTAGCTCTTTTTTTTTAAATAAACAAAAACAAAACAGGCATATATAATAATTAACACCACCAAAAGGCACATTCTGCAAGTCTGCCTCCTGGATGCTAGCTCTCAGTCCCTCTCTTCCCATGAATCTAGAGTCCTTAGCTGCTCCCTCTATTCATGTCCCCATCTCTTCCTTCATCTTTAGTGTTTTTTAGTATTCCATTGTGTGTATATACCAAAGTTTGTTTTAACCGTTTTTCTATTGATGGGCATCTAGGCTATCCCCATCATTTTGATATGTCACTTGCAGACAGCATATTGAAAAAACCTTTTTCTTATCCATTCTGCTTTTTATGTCTCTTGACTAGAACATTTAATCCACTTACATTCAGTGTAATTATCTGTCACTGTAGTGGCTTGTGTGTTGCTGTGATTCTGGAAACTATGCCACAGGTGTTTAAATACCAACAGGGTCACCCACAGTGGACAGATGAAGATAGACTAGAAAGAAGGACAGGTGGACTACTTCTGAATATTTAGTCACTGAAAACCTTATGAATACCATTGAAACACTGTGTTGGCACCAGAATTTTGAATATTAAAATGTGATGAAAAACACCAGAGTATTGTCAGACATTGTGCAGGGAGATGAGCCACTCACTTAGAATGCATTCAAAATACAACTGGGGAAGAGTTGCCTCCTCAAAGTAGAGTTAATTGAAATGACACGAATGGCGAAGGGAGTAAAGCCCTTGGGACTTTCATTTGTTGATGGGGCACAACTCAAAATGTAGAGAAACAGCTGTAAACATTCATTACTAATTGAAACATGGAATGTACTAAGTACAAATCTAGAAAAATTGGGAATTGTCAACAATGAAATTATGCTCATAAACATTGATATCCTAGGTATTAGTAAGCTGAAATGGCCATTTTGAATCTGTCAGTCACATGTTTTGCTATGCCAGGAAGGACAGATTGAAGAGGAATGGTATCACATTCATGTTCTAAAAGAGCATTTCAAGATCTATCTTGAAGTACAATTCTGTCTGTGATAGGGTAGTAATACCCATATGCCCACAAGGAAGATCCATTAATATCACAATAACTCAGATTTATGCACCAGCTACTAAAGCCAGTGATGAAATTGAAAAATTCTGCCAACTTCTTCAGTCTGAAATTGATCAAACATGCAGTCAAAATGTATTGATAATTATTGGCAGTTGGATTGCAAAGGTTGGAAACAAAAAGGAAGGAGCAGTAGTTGGAAAATATAACCTTGGTGACAAAAATGATGCTGGAGATCACTTGATAGAATTTTGCAAGACCAATGACTTGTTCATTGCAAATACCTTTTTGAAAAAACATACACATGGACCTCACCAGATGGATTAAAGAAATCAAATTGACTACATCTGTGGAAAGAAATGGTAGAAAAGCTCATATCAACCAAAACAAGTCCAGAGGCTGACAGTGGAATAGACTTATCAGTTACTCATACGCAAGTTCAGGCTTGTAGCTGAAGGAAATAAGTTCATGAGAACCAAAATATGACCTGAACACATCCCACCTAAATTTAGAGATCATCTGAAGAACAGAGTTGATGCCTTAGACACGACAAAGACCAGAAGAGTTGTGGAATGACATCAAGAACATCATACAGGAAAAAAGCAGAAGGTCATTAAGAATACAAGAAAGAAGGAAAAGACCAAGATGAATCTCAGAATCTGAGATCCTGAAACTTGTTCTCCAGTGTAGAGATACTAAAAGCAAATGGAAGAAATGAAGAGGTAAAATGTCAAAGGTCAGCTCGAGAAGACAAAGTTAAATATTATAACAAAATGTGCAATACCTGCAATTAGAAAACCAAAAAGGAAGAAATCACTTAGCATTTCTCAAGCTCAAAGAACTGCAGTAAAAATTCAAGCTTCAACTTTCAATATTGAAGAATTCTGTGGACAAAATATTGAGTGATGCAGAAGTAATCAAAAGAATGGAAGGAATACACAGAGTCACTGTAGCAAAAAGAAATGGTCGATGTTCAACCATTTCACGAGGTAACATGATAAAGAGGCAATGATATTGAAGGAATAAGTACAAGGGGCATTGAAGACATTGGCAGAAAAACAAGGCACTGGGAATTGATGGAATACAAATAGAACTCTCAACAAACTGATGTGGCACTGGAAACACTCATGTATGCCAAGAAATCTGGAAGACAACTGCCTAGCCAACTGAGTGGAGGAGATTTTATATTTATGCCCATTCCAAAGAGAGGTGACCCAATGGAATGCATAATTTCTGCATGCAAGTACAATTTTACTGAAGATAATACGAAAACAGCTGCAACCATAGAGGATGTGGCATGAGGGATCTTTGTTGAATGCAGAGAATACTTGAAAGATGTTTACCTGTGCTTTACTAACTATGCAGAGGTTTTTGCTTGTGTGGGTCATGGCAAGCTATGGACAACATTGCACAGAATGAGTATTCCGGAACACTTAATTGTGCTCATGAGGAACCTGTACATAGACCAAGAGACAGTTGTTTGACCAGCAAAAGGGAACACTGAATGGTTTAAAATTAGGAAAGCTGTGCACCAGGGTTGTATTCTTTCACCACACTTAGTCTGTATGCTGAGCAAATAATGCAAGAAATTGAATTACATGAAGAAAGATGTGGCATCAGGATTGGAGGAAGACTCATTAACAACCTGTGATATGCAGATGATACAATCTTATATGCTGAAAGTGAAGAGGACTTAGAATACTTATTGATGAAGATCAAAGACCACAGCCTTTGTTATAGGGTATAAAGAAAACAAAAGTTCTCACCACTGTAACAAGAAAGCGCATCCATATAAATGGAGAAAAGATTGAAGGTGTCCAAGACTTCATTTTGCTTGGCTCAACCATCAACACTTATGGAAGCAGCAGTCAGGAAGTCAAATGAGATCATTGCATTAGGCAAACCTGCTGTACAAGACCTCTTAAAAGTATTCAAAGCAAAGATGTCAGTTTGAGGACCAAGGTACGACTGACCCAAGCCATGATATTTTCACTAACCTCATATGGATGTGAAAGTTGGACAGTGAATAAGGAAGACCGTAGAAGAGTTGATGCGTTTGAGTTTTGGTGTTCGAGGAGAATGTTGACAGTACAGTGGACTGCCCAAAGAACAGGTCTGTGTTGAATGAAGTACAGCCAGAAGGCTCTTTGGATGCCAGTGGCCAGACTTCATTGCTAATACTTTGGACACATTATCAGGAGGGACCAGTCCCTGGAGAAGGATATCATGTTTGGTAAAGTGGAGGGTCAGAGAAAAAGAGGAAGACCCCTAACGAGATGGATTGGCACAGTGGCAGCAGCAGTGGATTCAGGCATTGCAACTATTGTGAGGGTGGGCAGTGTTTCATTCTGAGTTTATAGGGTCGCTGTGAGTTGGTACCGACACGATGGCACCTAACAACAACAACAACAACAACAGTGACTTGATTGTTGTCATTTTTCTGTGTGTTTGTTCGTGGCACTGCTGGATTCTTTGTTCCACATAATTTTCTATACTGAGTTCATTTTGTTTGTGGGTTTTCTTTTCAAATTTTGATGTGCAAATGTATTATTTTTCTTTATAGTTACCCTGTGATTTATTCTTTTTTCCTGCGAAACAGTTTTATCTCGAAATTTACTTGACTCTTTAACATATTTTGTAGAGTTGGTCTGTTCATTTTTGTTTATCTGTTAACGTCCTAATCTTGTTGTGGTATTTAGGGGTGGGCTTGGTATATGGCGGTCTTGGTCATTCAGTGTTTGTATGTGGCATTCCATAGTCTTCTTTTGCCGGCTTGGTTTCTACTGAGAAATTCTTGTAGGTAACTTTTCGTTTTTTTCTGAACTCCTCTCAGAATTCTTTTCGTGTCTTTAATTTTGGA